ACATTTTTAAACTCTAAAATAAATAGCGTATTTAGTGGGGGTTTTTAAATGGTTACAAAGATACGATATAGTAGAAGCTATTACATGAGAGTATGGTAAATAATTCAATCCAATCATAGCTTAATTTCCTCTCTCTTTAAATACTTCCATGTACCATAAAAACACTAATTTTCATGTTTATTTATATGTCTAGTTAGGGATGTCTTAAACTACTTATAGCCTTATAAGTCATGTTCAAAAGTTTTAACTATAGATATCTTAAATAAGGTCCATATCTAATTATATGAATATTTGTTTTTTCACAAGAACTTTTTTTGGTAATCACGATCCGTTTGATCTATGTACTTGCACATACTAAAAAAATATGTGACATGGCTTCCTAGAGTTCTATTTAAACTACGCTTCACTTCTTCTACCATCCCAACACTAACGAGCTTTTTTGGGTTGGATTCATTTGCGTAATCCGATACTAAGAATATATATTTGGTGACCAGTTATGCTTACTACATTAAAAGAAGATCGACTATACCGTGGATTATTTTAGAAGGCTAGGAAGCCATTTTGCTATAAAATTCTTGATGAATAATACGAAGGGATCTAGATATTGTATATTATGAAGCCATGTAAAGGAGAAGCTTCAGGTGGCACGCATCAAACTACGAAGACCCTCTAAATCAAGAAGAAGTATCAGAAGGCACTTTACTCAAACACCACAATCTACTGCTTCTACTTGGAGTTGTATTCACAGAACTTTCCTTAGCATCTGCAAACAAAAAATCTAAACCAGTCTCTGTCCCATCGGCTTTGTTCATGTCATCGGCTACAGAATGCCTTACACGGGACAAAAGCAAAGGCCTCTCGGGTGTTCTATAAGGGTCACGGGAGCTAGAAAAGCAACTCGCTGGTTCAGGAGAGTTAGGGTTGCTTAAAGAATCTTCTTTCAAGATTTCTCCCATTCTTGATAGAATCCGGAAAGCTAGATTCGCAAGTGTTCGGGAATATGTCTCAAGAACCGCATGACCAATGTCCTGAAAACAGAGAAGAAAGATGTTTCAGACCATGGGACTAAGAAAGATGTGATTAGTTATGTTTATGTTTACCTTGCCATATTGGATCTTTGTGGCATCAAGAAACGAGTGAGGAAGATTAGGGTGTTTGGATTTGATCTGATTTCTAAGTGCTTCTGCTCAGTTCAAGAGTGACTCATTGCAACCAGTTTCAGACAAAAAAAAAAGATGAGAAAAACACGAACTCTAGTCTATGCATAACAATTATTTATTTAAAGAGTTGAAAAGTATTCAGATCTAATACACAAAATCTAAAGTTTTTTTAGTATTAAATAACACTAAAGTATTTAAGCTCGATCTAAAAAAAATAACTGAGACAACGATGAAAACAATACACCAATAAAGAGTATCCTAACTTTCACAGAAAAATATCAATTTATAGAGGAATTAAATAAAGGTTTAAGAGAAAATATGAGGATTTGTTGTTGGGGGATCGAAGAGAACATGAGAAAATAGTGTGCTTATATACACATGAGAGGGTGGCAAAAGGTAAGGTGTTAGGTGTAAGGGAGAAAATATGAAAATTTATGGAAAGATAGCTATGGATTGAAAAAGAGATATATATGACCAATAAATCAGAGTTGAAGAGGCACCAATATTAAACATTATAGGCTAATAAATCTGAAAATGGTTGTGCATATTATATATTGATCTTTTGCAAATAATATATCAAACATTAAAAAATCACAAAATATTCAGTTACTAATTTTTATTCTACATTTTATGTTGAATTTTATCATATAAGTATTGGCTTCAAGGGTACGGAGGGTATTGGCAGATCAATTTAGTTATGTATTACGAACAAAAAACTAGTAAAAAAATTTGTGATCAAACTTCTTCAAATATAATTGAAATTTCCGGCTCTACGGCGCAGAAATACATTACATAATACATAAAAATAGAACTAACTTAAAGGTAAAACCTTTAAATCTTACAACAATTAATTAAAAAGAAAAGACATAATTAAATATTAGTCTTTTGAAATGAACAAACACAAATGCAAACCACAGAAACACATCACTTAAAAGTCTACATCTTTTGATTAAAGATGATTATTGATGTAAGGAGCAGAAACATCGGTGGTGGTGGTGACGGTGGTGGTGGTGGTGATGGTGGTGGAAGGCATGTGAGCGGTGGTAGTAAAACCAACATTTGGTAGTTGGTGGTAGTTGTAGTTTCCGTCCATGAAAGGGATGTGTGTATGATCTCCAACATAACCACCCACTTGCTGATGAGGATATTCCATCAACATATTCATGAATGGGTCATGTTGAAACGGATATTGATTTGGATCCAAACTCATATTCTGATTCAAATTCATATCATAGATTCCATGTTGAATCGGGTTATTAAAATCAACAAGAGCTTGGTATTGAACCGGCTCTTGTTGATTTTGATTCATCAAATTCATATTCTGATATTGAATATGATCACTTAAACCAGTAGGGATATAGGGCTGAACCGGCTCATACTGATTCTGATTCATAGGAATACCTGCACCCACAATAGCAAGAGGAGCCGCACCCGCAACTGAAGTATGAAGCGGAGGAGGAAAGGAAGAAGAAGACTCACCATTTTCTGTAAGTAACTGGAGCCTGGACTTAAGCTTATTGATATAGTGATCAATATGAGAACTTAAATCTTGAAAGTCCCTTGCATCATATTGATGCTCACTCATCTTGCCTTCAAGACAATCAAACATAAATTGTTTAAGCTGAGATTCTCGGTTTTCACGACGTAGACGCTCCAGTTTCTTTGTTTCTTTGGTAATTCTGCCCTGCAAGAAGGTCTCATGATTCACCATCAGCTTGGATTGTTCTGTCACCGGCCTCTCCATAAACTCCGAAACCGCCTCTTGAACACCTTCGGTTGACGGCCACACCGTTGGATTCTCGTACGGACTGTAAATTACCGCACATGCTTTGACGTCGCAGAGAGTTGTCAGCTCATGGAGTTTCTTCGTTATCCCTCCCTTCCTCTTCTTGAATGTGGTTCTCCTTATGTTGTTGTTAGCTATGAATGATAACTTAAGTTTCGACCTCATTTTCTTTGTTTTTCTTTTCTTTGGTGTGTGCTTGTTTAGTTTCTTTGCCCAAGGCTGTTTATATAGCAAAGAGAATGGTGATTTTTCTCAGTATGTGGCTTATCATGTTGCTGGACTCATTAATTCGAAATTACAACATTAATTTTTTGTTTACTGTCTTATTAATTGACAAGGCCACTAATTATAGCTATGACTAAGAATAGATTTTCTTTTCTTTTTACTAAGAATAGTTTATCTTCCTATATATTACTCTCACTTTTCTTTTAAGAGTAATTTCAAGCTTTGTTTATAAACAATGAAATTTAATAATATTTTGAAGTGTTTTTTTTTTCTTTTTAAATATTACATCTTCAATTTACATGTGAAATCATAAAAATATAAAAGCTCAAAGAAATTGTTTATTTATAGTAAAAATTTTGAATAGAATGTAACGTGAGTCTCACGGAATATTTAGAACCCGCGAAATTTTTTGAAAACAATGTAACGGGGATCTCACGAAATATTTAAAACGTGTATTCTAAGAAAATCTTTAAAATACCTATATACATTAAAGGGAAACATACAAAGAAAAAAGTTTGTAAACTAATAAAATAAGATAATAAAATACCATTAAACTATATATTACATTTAGTGTATATATATATGAATATAATAGTAGAGTATAAGAGAAAACATTTTATGTAAAATCACAGATTTAGTTATATGAATAAAAGTTTTAATAAATATATTAAAAAACATATGTTTTGGCCGGAAGGTCCATCTAATTTCGTTTAGTCAATAAGTTGAATTCGATTAAAAGGAAATTTGGGTAAAATAACCGTTTCATACATTAATGTATGGATTTTTCCCTCTTTTTACTTATACATTAATATGACTGTTATTTTATAGATAATTTGTGAACTCATACATATATTATACCTTTTGGAGAATCATTTTTCTATATTTGGTTAAAATATCTACTGCACTGCCAGCTAATTATGAGCTGTAAATAGTGAAATTAAAGATTTTACAATAGGTTTAGAGAACCTCCAATGGTTTTACATACCCAAAAAGAGTATCTCAACTTTAAAGTATTAACCTTTAAATATAGTTTAATTATAAATATATAATTTTTAGTTTTAAAAACAAATAATGAACCAATTAGAAAGAGACAAGTGTAAATAGAGATTCTAGTTAGTATACCTAAAGTTCTTATTTAAGAACCTTTCTCTTCTTTCTCTTTCATACTTTTTTTTAATTATAAGTATAATGTGGGAGAATCCAAAAAATAAGATACTCCAATGGAGGTCTTGCAATATCAAAAAAAAAAAAAACAATAATGCACATTGTTAGTTATATTATCTCTTCTTACTAATTACATTTTTAAACTCTAAAATAAATAGCGTATTTAGTGGGTTTTTTTAAATGGTTACAAAGATACGATATAGTAGAAGCTATTACATGAGAGAATGGTAAATAATTCAATCCAATCATAGCTTAATTTCCTCTCTCTTTAAATACTTCCATGTACCATAAAAACACTAATTTTCATGTTTATTTATATGTCTAGTTAGGGATGTCTTAAACTACTTATAGCCTTATAAGTCATGTTCAAAAGTTTAATTATAGATATCTTAAATAAGGTCCATATCTAATTATATGAATATTTGTTTTTTCACAAGAACTTTTTTTGGTAATCACGATCCGTTTGATGTACTTGCACATACTAAAAAAATATGTGACATGGCTTCCTAGAGTTCTATTTAAACTACGCTTCACTTCTTCTACCATCCCAACACTAACGAGCTTTTTTGGGTTGGATTCATTTGCGTAATCCGATACTAAGAATATATATTTGGTGACCAGTTATGCTTACTACATTAAAAGAAGATCGACTATACCGTGGATTATTTTAGAAGGCTAGGAAGCCATTTTGCTATAAAATTCTTGATGAATAATACGAAGGGATCTAGATATTGTATATTATGAAGCCATGTTAATAATACATTTACAATATCTTAGGCTTCATAATTTAAAACCCTCAAAGTAAAGGAGAAGCTTCAGGTGGCACGCATCAAACTACGAAGACCCTCTAAATCAAGAAGAAGTATCAGAAGGCACTTTACTCAAACACCACAATCTACTGCTTCTACTTGGAGTTGTATTCACAGAACTTTCCTTAGCATCTGCAAACAAAAAATCTAAACCAGTCTCTGTCCCATCGGCTTTGTTCATGTCATCGGCTACAGAATGCCTTACACGGGACAAAAGCAAAGGCCTCTCGGGTGTTCTATAAGGGTCACGGGAGCTAGAAAAGCAACTCGGTGGTTCAGGAGAGTTAGGGTTGCTTAAAGAATCTTCTTTCAAGATTTCTCCCATTCTTGATAGAATCCGGAAAGCTAGATTCGCAAGTGTTCGGGAATATGTCTCAAGAACCGCATGACCAATGTCCTGAAAACAGAGAAGAAAGATGTTTCAGACCATGGGACTAAGAAAGATGTGATTAGTTATGTTTATGTTTACCTTGCCATATTGGATCTTTGTGGCATCAAGAAACGAGTGAGGAAGATTAGGGTGTTTGGATTTGATCTGATTTCTAAGTGCTTCTGCTCAGTTCAAGAGTGACTCATTGCAACCAGTTTCAGACAAAAAAAAAGATGAGAAAAACAAGAACTCTAGTCTATGCATAACAATTATTTATTTAAAGAGTTGAAAAGTATTCAGATCTAATACACAAAATCTAAAGTTTTTTTAGTATTAAATAACACTAAAGTATTTAAGCTCGATCTAAAAAAAATAACTGAGACAACGATGAAAACAATACACCAATAAAGAGTATCCTAACTTTCACAGAAAAATATCAATTTATAGAGGAATTAAATAAAGGTTTAAGAGAAAATATGAGGATTTGTTGTTGGGGGATCGAAGAGAACATGAGAAAATAGTGTGCTTATATACACATGAGAGGGTGGCAAAAGGTAAGGTGTTAGGTGTAAGGGAGAAAATATGAAAATTTATGGAAAGATAGCTATGGATTGAAAAAGAGATATATATGACCAATAAATCAGAGTTGAAGAGGCACCAATATTAAACATTATAGGCTAATAAATCTGAAAATGGTTGTGCATATTATATATTGATCTTTTGCAAATAATATATCAAACATTAAAAAATCACAAAATATTCTGTTACTAATTTTTATTCTACATTTTATGTTGAATTTTATCATATAAGTATTGGCTTCAAGGGTACGGAGGGTATTGGCAGATCAATTTAGTTATGTATTACGAACAAAAAACTAGTAAAAAAATTTGTGATCAAACTTCTTCAAATATAATTGAAATTTCCGGCTCTACGGCGCAGAAATACATTACATAATACATAAAAATAGAACTGACTTAAAGGTAAAACCTTTAAATCTTACAACAATTAATTAAAAAGAAAAGACATAATTAAATATTAGTCTTTTGAAATGAACAAAGACAAATGCAAACCACAGAAACACATCACTTAAAAGTCTACATCTTTTGATTAAAGTTGATTATTGATGTAAGGAGCAGAAACATCGGTGGTGGTGGTGACGGTGGTGGTGGTGGTGATGGTGGTGGAAGGCATGTGAGCGGTGGTAGTAAAACCAACATTTGGTAGTTGGTGGTAGTTGTAGTTTCCGTCCATGAAAGGGATGTGTGTATGATCTCCAACATAACCACCCACTTGCTGATGAGGATATTCCATCAACATATTCATGAATGGGTCATGTTGAAACGGATATTGATTTGGATCCAAACTCATATTCTGATTCAAATTCATATCATAGATTCCATGTTGAATCGGGTTATTAAAATCAACAAGAGCTTGGTATTGAACCGGCTCTTGTTGATTTTGATTCATCAAATTCATATTCTGATATTGAATATGATCACTTAAACCAGTAGGGATATAGGGCTGAACCAGCTCATACTGATTCTGATTCATAGGAATACCTGCACCCACAATAGCAAGAGGAGCCGCACCCGCAACTGAAGTATGAAGCGGAGGAGGAAAGGAAGAAGAAGACTCACCATTTTCTGTAAGTAACTGGAGCCTGGACTTAAGCTTATTGATATAGTGATCAATATGAGAACTTAAATCTTGAAAGTCCCTTGCATCATATTGATGCTCACTCATCTTGCCTTCAAGACAATCAAACATAAATTGTTTAAGCTGAGATTCTCGGTTTTCACGACGTAGACGCTCCAGTTTCTTTGTTTCTTTGGTAATTCTGCCCTGCAAGAAGGTCTCATGATTCACCATCAGCTTGGATTGTTCTGTCACCGGCCTCTCCATAAACTCCGAAACCGCCTCTTGAACACCTTCGGTTGACGGCCACACCGTTGGATTCTCGTACGGACTGTAAATTACCGCACATGCTTTGACGTCGCAGAGAGTTGTCAGCTCATGGAGTTTCTTCGTTATCCCTCCCTTCCTCTTCTTGAATGTGGTTCTCCTTATGTTGTTGTTAGCTATGAATGATAACTTAAGTTTCGACCTCATTTTCTTTGTTTTTCTTTTCTTTGGTGTGTGCTTGTTTAGTTTCTTTGCCCAAGGCTGTTTATATAGCAAAGAGAATGGTGATTTTTCTCAGTATGTGGCTTATCATGTTGCTGGACTCATTAATTCGAAATTACAATATTAATTTTTTGTTTACTGTCTTATTAATTGACAAGGCCACTAATTATAGCTATGACTAAGAATAGATTTTCTTTTCTTTTTACTAAGAATAGTTTATCTTCCTATATATTACTCTCACTTTTCTTTTAAGAGTAATTTCAAGCTTTGTTTATAAACAATGAAATTTAATAATATTTTGAAGTGTTTTTTTTTTTCTTTTTAAATATTACATCTTCAATTTACATGTGAAATCATAAAAATATAAAAGCTCAAAGAAATTGTTTATTTATAGTAAAAATTTTGAATAGAATGTAACGTGAGTCTCACGGAATATTTAGAACCCGCGAAATTTTTTGAAAACAATGTAACGGGGATCTCACGAAATATTTAAAACGTGTATTCTAAGAAAATCTTTAAAATACCTATATACATTAAAGGGAAACATACAAAGAAAAAAGTTTGTAAACTAATAAAATAAGATAATAAAATACCATTAAACTATATATTACATTTAGTGTATATATATATGAATATAATAGTAGAGTATAAGAGAAAACATTTTATGTAAAATCACAGATTTAGTTATATGAATAAAAGTTTTAATAAATATATTAAAAAACATATGTTTTGGCCGGAAGGTCCATCTAATTTCGTTTAGTCAATAAGTTGAATTCGATTAAAAGGAAATTTGGGTAAAATAACCGTTTCATACATTAATGTATGGATTTTTCCCTCTTTTTACTTATACATTAATATGACTGTTATTTTATAGATAATTTGTGAACTCATACATATATTATACCTTTTGGAGAATCATTTTTCTATATTTGGTTAAAATATCTACTGCACTGCCAGCTAATTATGAGCTGTAAATAGTGAAATTAAAGATTTTACAATAGGTTTAGAGAACCTCCAATGGTTTTACATACCCAAAAAGAGTATCTCAACTTTAAAGTATTAACCTTTAAATATAGTTTAATTATAAATATATAATTTTTAGTTTTAAAAACAAATAATGAACCAATTAGAAAGAGACAAGTGTAAATAGAGATTCTAGTTAGTATACCTAAAGTTCTTATTTAAGAACCTTTCTCTTCTTTCTCTTTCATACTTTTTTTTTAATTATAAGTATAATGTGGGAGAATCCAAAAAATAAGATACTCCAATGGAGGTCTTGCAATATCAAAAAAAAAAAAAACAATAATGCACATTGTTAGTTATATTATCTCTTCTTACTAATTACATTTTTAAACTCTAAAATAAATAGCGTATTTAGTGGGTTTTTTTAAATGGTTACAAAGATACGATATAGTAGAAGCTATTACATGAGAGAATGGTAAATAATTCAATCCAATCATAGCTTAATTTCCTCTCTCTTTAAATACTTCCATGTACCATAAAAACACTAATTTTCATGTTTATTTATATGTCTAGTTAGGGATGTCTTAAACTACTTATAGCCTTATAAGTCATGTTCAAAAGTTTAATTATAGATATCTTAAATAAGGTCCATATCTAATTATATGAATATTTGTTTTTTCACAAGAACTTTTTTTGGTAATCACGATCCGTTTGATGTACTTGCACATACTAAAAAAATATGTGACATGGCTTCGTAGAGTTCTATTTAAACTAGGCTTCACTTCTTCTACCATCCCAACACTAACGAGCTTTTTTGGGTTGGATTCATTTGCGTAATCCGATACTAAGAATATATATTTGGTGACCAGTTATGCTTACTACATTAAAAGAAGATCGACTATACCGTAGATTTTTTTAGAAGGCTAGGAAGCCATTTTGCTATAAAATTCTTGATGAATAATACGAAGGGATCTAGATATTGTATATTATGAAGCCATGTTAATAATACATTTACAATATCTTAGGCTTCATAATTTAAAACCCTCAAAGTAAAGGAGAAGCTTCAGGTGGCACGCATCAAACTACGAAGACCCTCTAAATCAAGAAGAAGTATCAGAAGGCACTTTACTCAAACACCACAGTCTACTGCTTCTACTTGGAGTTGTATTCACTGACCTTGCCTTAGCATCTGCAAACAAAAAATCTAAACCAGTCTCTGTCCCATCGGCTTTGTTCATGTCATCGGTTAAAGAATGCCTTACACGGGACGAAAGCAAAGGCCTCTCGGGTGTTCTATAAGGGTCACGGGAGCTAGGGAAGCAACTCGGTGGTGCAGGAGAGTTAGGGTTGCTTAAAGAATCTTCTTTCAAGATTTCTCCCATTCTTGAAAGAATCCGGAAAGCTAGATTCGCAAGTGTTCGGGAATATGCCTCAAGAACCGCATGACCAATGTCCTGAAAATAGAGAAGAAGGATTTGTTATCAACAAATAACTGTATTGTAAAGTATGACATGTTTCAGAACATAGGACTAAGAAAGATGTAATTAGTTCTGTTTATGTTTACCTTGCCATATTGGATCTTTGTGGCATCAAGAAACGAGTGAGGGAGATTAGGGTGTTTGGCTTTGATCTGATTTCTAAGCGCTTCTGTGCGGTTCAAGAGTGACTCATTGCGACCAATTTCAGACAATGGATCTTTAGCGAATGACCACGATGCTCGTACAGGGGATTTACCGCTGCTGCTTTGTTCTGTAATCCTTTCCTTCCAAGCAAATACAGCAGATTCTAACTTGTTAATTGTCTCGAGTGCTGCATGTTCGTTTCCCAGATTGAGAGATATAAAGATTTCATCTACTGTGGCAGATTCCACAGCCAACATCTTGTATAGTTCATCACCGAGGCTGTTCTTTCCAGACTGTTACAAAACAAGATTTTAGAGATAGTTGTTACTTACTACATTGTTGTATAATTATGAGACTAGCACAAGGGATATAAAGTGTGCAAGCTTACTTTGGGTATTGCTTCCTTGATTACAACGGGTACTGGCATTTCAAGAAGAATGTTTTCATTTATGGCTTTTGTAGCTTTGAAGACTTGATAAACAACTTTGCCTTTGTCAAGTAATTTCTTCCTTCCTGAGTTAGAGAGCCCGGGTTTAGGCACTTGTGGCGATGGAAGCCACCATCGCTTGCTCTCGCTTGTAGTCTTGTTCTTCCCCTCAGCTCTACTACCAATCTCAGAATACCAAAACTCTGTGTTCACCATAGAATCCAGTGTCTCCTGTGGAGATTGCAATGCAACTTTAATCAGATCAGGAAAAAGAAGAATAAGAAAAGACAAGATTAACGAAAGAGATAATCCGCCTACGATTAGCATGGAGTCCAACTTCTGTAGAGCAGGGAGATTCATATGAATGTCTGTGCGGGCTTTCGGTGTCATTATCTGTTTAAAAAAAGATTCAGTTCAGTTTCTTTCCCTGGAGTATATCTTTTTTTGTTTAACTCTGGATCACACCTTAGCTACGTACCTCCAGTGATCTTCCATTGGCATCATTTTGCTTAGAAGGGACTAACTCAATCATATAGTTAGTTGGAGAAAGTAGCCAATCCATTTCCCTTCTCCATTTCTGTTTTTTCTCCTCACACAAGGGTTCCAATTTCCAGAGCTCGCCGAAAATCGACGCTGCAAATTTATAAAATTCAGTTATACCACATGAAAACCTCAAAATATATCAAAAGAACATAAAGTTCAAATGCTAGGAAATAGTAGAACATACTAGCAAGATGTGTTACAGCATTTGACAAAGCCAAAGCTACTTGGACACCCTTGCATCCCCCAGTGACATCTTCGCCGAGCAATAGCTTAGAAAATTTCTCCTTCATGGCTTCCACATCCAAATGACAGTAGACATAGCCTGGCTTCTTCTCCTTACCATCAAAATGTTGGGTACTGCCATAGCCTTGTTTCTTCTCCTTAGCATCAAAATAATGAGACCTTCCAGATAAGTTCAAACCGTCGCAACTGTGTTCATCATTCTTCATCGGTAACCATTTTGAAGAAAAAGAGCTGGAGGCATCTTTGCTTGATGAACAGCTTGAAAACGCATCATCATCCAACGAATCAGTCAGGCATCCATCTCCTCGACTTGTTCCGCTTTCTTCTTCATATGATTGATTGTTGATGATACAAGTTTCCAAGCCGTCGTATGTAATCATTCCTGAAAAGAAAGGGAAACACAATGTCATCATGGATAGACCTGAAATAAGCTAAAGTTCTTATCTCAAAATTTTCTACTAACAAACATTTTTGTTACTATAAGTGAGATTATTGGCTTAACATTGAAATCTTAACACATTATCCATTTAGCATGTTATCAGATTAAATAGAAAATGCATAGATAGTACCACAGATCACACAGCTAAACATAGATCAAGAATCTTTTGCAACAATATTTCTATTTAAGAAAATACCCAATCCACATGTCAAAACATATAAAAAAAAACAGCAATGATCAGCACTATACAAACTCGAATCAATGGCACATAAAGTATTTTAGTTTCTTCTTGAATTTCTCTTATAAACCATTGAAATATCAAGGAAGTTGTTTAGATTCTTGAGGGTAAGAATAAAAAAAAAACCTTTAATAAGAGGGAACAAATATTCTAAGGATATTGAAGGAGAATGACTTCAAGCTTTTTACAAAAAGTTCATTAACCAGACCATGCAAAAAGTTCAACACATAAAGACACCAAAACTTGCACAAAACAAAGAGATTGACAAAGGAGGGGAAAGAAAAAGAGGTCAACAATAGAAAAATAATTAAACACTACGTATCGTTTAAGAGACCGTTCAAATTTTGACCATAAAGAAAACCCCACCTCGCACATCTATCTACTTCTTGTCTCACTCATCAAATGTCAAGAAAATGGTATCACTAGACACGTTATTTATGCAGACTAGTGTTCCATAACAAAAACAAATGATAAAAAAGGAATAAAAGTCGTTGTGTCCCTCTAGTCTTTAATAGCTAAAGTCAAGACTTTTGTTAACCCAAGACTGCTAAACCTTTTTTTTTTAAAAATGCTTCCATTCTCAAGAGGAAATGTATTAAAAAATCTCAAAAAAACAATTGAGTTAGTATCCCCATGTGGTGAAATTTCCAAACGGACCCACTACAAAGACTTTTATAACTTGTCACGACATAACATTTTTTCAAACGTTCAAAAGCATATAACATAATTGTTTAATCAAGCACCAGTGATTTGATTTAATAATGATATCTACCCCTTGAAATATGAAAGTTATGTTTAGTCTTCTTAATAATAAGCATGTGAAACCAATAAAACTACCTACTCTTGGCTGTTTCTGAATAAATATGATCTTAAACAAATGAAAAACCCTCAAATCCTAAACCCCAGCTCCTAAGAAACAGGGTTTGGTATAAGATAGGTTATTGAATCATCACATAAAATGCTCTCACATCATATTAAATTAAGGCATTGATGTCTCGTGGAAAGCTACAGACTTCACGCCTTATTTATTACATGAATGACTGGGTTGGTGTAGATCTTTAAAGGGTCTCTCAATATTGGTCCCATACCAAAACCTAAACCGTTCACAAGACCACTCACTTTTATTTGAAAACTATATACCCAAAAGTTATTATAG